GAATGGCAGCTTGCACTGTACGCTTCCCAGGACGCTGGGATTGTTTCAGAATGCTATCAGATCTGCTAGGACAATAATACAATTGAAAAGCGCACAGAGCTTGCTGTTGAGCGGGATTTTGCGCTATTCACATGCCATCTGTCTATTTATCTGTTATTATTATTATTATTATTATTATTATTATTATTATTATTATTATTATTATTATTATTATCATTATTATCAACGAACTTTGATGATGTGGACTTGTTTGACATTATGCCTGTTGTAAAGAGAAATATCAGGCATCAACATGCAGCAAAAATACTTAATAAGCTGTACTTCCACAGGGTGTAGTAGGAAACGCAAATGTCTCTAAGTTTTCCAGACATCTCATTCTCTTTAGTAACTGAAACAAAATCAAAAACAAACGGGAAAAATGACCGGCGTCTCTTGTTTTCACGGTAGGGGGCTCTTCACCACTGCACACAAAAGATGTGAGTTCGATCCCCAAGAGAAGAAGAGAGATTTAATGGGTGCCTCCGTCTTTTTGCTGGGATGCAGCCTCCTTCATAGGACTCTGTGGTCCTGACAGATAGAGACGAAGACGCTGGCTTCCAATTTGATCTAACTCATGTCCATAGGCAAAATATTTCAATCAATCACAGGGTATAATAAATGTGTTCTTGACCGGATCAGCACCAATAGCGAAAGGCTAAATAGGAATGGTGGACAGCTGCTGATCAAATTTACATCGTGCAAGAGGAGAGTTGGAAACTTTGATTATAAATGATTAATGAACATAAATGTAATTGTTTTACGCTCTATTTGGATCATACCGGAAAAAGGCTGCTTCAAACAGGCTTAGCGAGTTACAAAATCCAAATAGATGGGCAGAGGTACATGATACAATAACTCCCTGCCTGTGGAATCGAACTCACATCGTGTGCGTGTAACGCTAAACAGCCAATCCATTAAAGCAAAAACACTGATCTTCTATAGTGTGAGCCATCTTGACCTCTATTTCAGCGGTGTACATCCGTCGTTTAGTTTAAAATAAATCTTCCCCCGAGTAGTCAGTTGCGATCACAACTTCTTGGGGAGAGAACTGAGCGGTACTAGGAACACTGACTAAGCTATAACAAACCCAAACAATGGAAATGCGCAGATCTACCGCGTACACCCAATCTCAACGCGTGGGCACTGTTGTTGGAAGCAGGCAATTCCATCTCAACGCGTGGGACGGCATCCATTGTTGAAGCAAACAATAGATGGACAATGGGTGTTTTTCTGGTGGGTATCAAATACCCTGAGGTATCACAATCGACCAAAGTGCAGAGACTTTTTCCATCAGCAACTAGATCTAGCTGAGCTGTTAAAGTGTTATACCGATTGCATTTCTGCATGGCGATCCTGGTTCAAAAAATGAAACAAGTTTTCTTTAACTTGTGTTGTTTGGATTGGGTGGGGGTTTTTTGGGTGTTTTTTTGGGAGGGGTAAAAATTAAAGCTTAATCAGCACCATACTCTCTCTCTCTCTCTCTCTCTCTCTCTCTCTCTCTCTCTCTCTCTCTCTCTCTCTCTCTCTTTCTCTCTCTCTCTCTCTCTCTCTCTCTCTCTATCTATCTATCTATCTATCTATCTATCGATCTCTTTCTTTCTCTCTCTCTTTCTCTCTTTCTCAGAAACACACACGCATACACACACACACACACACACACACACACACACACACACACAAACAAACACACATACACATTCGACACCCTTGCAGGTCCATTTGAGGTGTTCGCTCATAAGATATGACCTTGTGCAGTAGCAAGTGTCGAAAAAACTCTTACCAAAAACATTTGAGGTGAGCTTCAAAGAAAGAGGCAACTCGTTAAGATCGAGGGGACAAGTTGTGAGAGCGTTGAAATCGAGTAAAAATACGCTGAGGCTGAGTACAGAGGATCTATCTCTCTCCGATAAATCTAACTAAATAAACAAAAGAAGATTGATAAGATTCACACCTACACACTTTGGCGCCACCTGCGACTATAGTTTCATGCTGTAGGTCGTGAGTTGTCATCTTTGCTAGTAGGGCTTTACTTTGTGGAATAGCGACTAACGACCATTCGCGCTAGGTTTATAAAGTCTAAAAGGTTAAATAAAGCGACATTTCACGAAGAACGAAAGAAGTGACCCTTGCGACGTCTGATGACTTTGAAAAATCAACGTTAACTTGGTGTTGACTTTTCCTTAAGCATAGTGACATTTAACAAGTCGCTACCCTAGAATTACAACGTTCTATCTGCTCAGCGCTTAGTTTTGAGAAATATGTCGTTTAAACAAATTGAGTTTCATAACATCGTTAAGATTTTTCAAATGCTATTTTTATAAAATACCTTGATAACGACTCCAAATGATCTTGCGATTTTGATAGAACTGATAGAGCACTATTAGTTTCTGACCGCATGGTTTAAGTAACTCAAAAGAGCCAAAAACGTCAGATAAAACTTTGTAACTGTAAGGTAGTGAAGTTTGAGCAAACGGGCGCTGCTCTTTATAATAAACTGCAAAAACGTTAACTGCAAGAAGCACAATAATCGAAATTTGTGAAATGATGAAAAAGATCGTGGATAGGCCTCATTGAAGAACATTGCTTAGTACAGTGTTCTTGTGTTGAGGCTTTTCGACATTTTTCATGACTATTTGTGATCAGTTAAAGATACTATCGGGACGAAACTGACGTCTGTGGTATAGCTGTTTTGACATTTCACTGTCGTACACAAGAGATCCGAGTTCAAATCCCGAATGGGAAAAATATATATCAAGTATCTCGGTCTATCTGTTGGGATTTTGTATCCTCTCAGCCCGGGTTGGGCCTTAAAGGTACTGCCAAAGCCTGCCTTCTTAATGATGTAAATTCTGTATGGATTGTAATATAACTTATAACTTTAAAAAAAAAAAAACCTTACCAGGACGAACAAAAAGCTTTTAGGTTTTATTCATTGTCGGTAACATAAAGCGGTTCAGAAGAATGTACATGTGAGTGTGTGTGTGTGTGTGTGTGTGTGTGTGTGTGTGTGTGTGTGTGTGTGTGTGTGTGTGCGTGTGTTTAATTTTACAAGCAAAGGCATATAAGAACAGCGATAACATTATTTCGCAATGTTTAAGAAATGCACCTCACGTCGTGATTTAAACGAAAATGCAACAATCGTAAACCAAAAAGAAAAAGAAAGATTTGCACCTTCATCGATGCTATTTAGGTGATCTAGAAGGCAGGCTACTTCGACCCTTCCTGTCAGGGCAAACCCGGGCGGAGATGGATATAACATCCACACGGAAAGACGGATACAACTTTTAACTACTACATCACAGACACCGGTGTTGTGAGTGTATAATGAGCTCTCGACATTTTATTTTTTGGTGCTTGAAGAATGTTCACATCTGTCTAAGATGAAGCATCTGGGTTTATTACCTGTCTGATTAAGAAAATAAGTGCCCATTACGTCTTGGCTGCATTTTTACGATGTTATTTGAAGACATAATTATTGTTATGCCTGTGGATTGTTATCTGATTTGTTTAGTTGTTGTTTTTTTTGTTGTTGTTTTTTGTTGTGTTTTTTTGCTTTAGTGGGGTTTGTCCTTCTGCTAAATAAGAAAAATGAGTATACTTGTGACTTTTAAAATTTGTTACTGCCTATGAAACATCTTTGAGGTACACACACTGCCCGAGTTCGATTTCCCAAGTGGGGATATTTTCTATCGACTGTCCGGCCAGTCCTTCTGCTGGGATGTTGTGTCCCTTTCAGCCCCGATTTACCCTGACAGACAGGGTCGCACCCCGCAGCCTAAATTGGGTCCAAACATATACATTAAGAAAAGTTTATATAGACTATGTGAAACAAAATCACCCTAAAAGCATTCAACAATATTCAGGTATATGAAACTTTCTCTCTGATCAGTTTTCGGTGTACACAAATTTGCAAAGATTGTGTAGTCGTTGAATAGCTAAAAGTAGAGTTTTAATTAAAGTTTTAAGGCATTTTAAACACTTATAGGTTAAAAAATGCAGCAGGTAAGAGGTGTTACTAGAAGGTAACTTAGAAAGAACAAAAGGAGGAGTGATAAGGATAATAGGTGTGTGGTGAGAAAGAATGAGCAAACCACAGCAGAGCCCCCGCTAACTACACACCAACGGTTGAAACACATTCTGAATATGAGAGAGATAAACAGTCTTACTGTAATTCAATACAGGCCAATTTGTCATCTTATCTTATCGCTACCCTAGAATTACAAAGCTCTATCTGATATTTTTTGGCCGTTTTCAGTTACTATAAGACCATGAAGTCAGAAACAAAAATGTTCTATCTCCTCTATCAAAATCGTAAGATCATTCGTAGTCGTTTTAAAGATATTCAAAGAATTGTATTCGAAAAAACGTGACATGTTGTGAAATTCAAAATGTTTGACGTAAAATTTCTCAGAACTAGAAACTGGGCAGATAGAATTTTGTAATTCTAAGGTAGGAATATGTTTGAGCTGGTTGTTGAACACTATAGTTCTTTCGATGACACATACTCAACTTTAAAAATGGATATTTAATTTGTGTAACCGCATGATAAACCTTAAGGAAGTTCAGTATGCATACTTGCATTCTTTAGAAAATCGTGAAAACTTCATCATACAATTCTTATGACAGTGCTGTTCAGCGTTTGGAACTTGATTGTGAACATATTATTATGATCATGGACTACAACGTAACAATTATTTCCAGTAGAATTGAGGGAGAAAGAGAGAGAGAGAGAGAGAGAGAGAGAGAGAGAGAGAGAGAGAGAGAGAAGAGGGGGGGGGCGCAGTTTATAATCAGGAACATTTTCATTTCTTTAGGAATTCTAACCCCGGTCACTCGCATTTCAAAAATAGTAGTAGCTCTCTTTGACAAGGGAAATAAATGAATCCAATATGCATACACATACTGTTTTATGAATTAAGCTACAGAGAAATGTAATGTTACAAGTAGACACAAAGACTCACCCGACTCTGAAACAGCATACATGACGCCGTGTCAAAAATCACCGCCACAAACAGTAGCAGAAACATCATCATAGCAGAAGCGGGGAAACTCCCTCCCAGCACCACGCGGCATCCCTTCTCTCGTCTGCCAGCTTCCATCTCGATCCACGAACTACCTCCCCTTGACGAGGTTACTCCACCGCCACGTCCATTATACGCCGCTCCTTCCGCTCTGACGTCATCGTCTCGCCTACAGCCATTGGCTGCGAGGGTGGTTCGGAGACCAATCAGTGGGGCACTGCACCTGCAAAGGAAAGACAAAATCCCACGCTAAACTTCGATCTGTTACCGAAAGACCCGTAGGGTGCCGTTAAAGATTGGAGTAGGTTGAACGATAAGGCTTTTGTGTGAGAGTGCGTAGTAATTTCAACTCACACGGAAAGTGATAGACGCCAGCTCGGGTACTTCTACCACTCCTTTCATCTCTTCTTTTTTTTTCCCTCTCGAAAAAAATTTCGACTCCTCTCGAAAAGATTTCAGACAGACAGTCGGATCGGGGGCAGAAGTGGACCCACAGTTAGCCTAATCGAAAAACATTGTGCGAGGGTGTGAGAATCAAAAACGTCTATCAACAATAACAGTATAATTTAGGTGGAACCTTTTCACTTTGAACCAGCATTACATCGCAGGGACAGTGTGGAAGATAATCATTGTGTTCCTAGAGGGGTGATTAGTGCAGAGGCCCAGTCTATCGGGAGCTCTCGCTACAACATTAGCTGCGTCCACGATCAAACAATTACACCCCCCCCCCCTCGGGCGGCAAATAGACTCAAAAAAGTACTCGTGCAGTAGGTAAAGGGTAATTAAGCTCCCAAAAATGAAGCTTCCCCAGGATACGTATTGACAATACAATTCTTAAATAACAACAGCAACAAAAGCTGTGTTGGGGAAGTATTGGTATTATAAGTATTTAAAACAGAATCTCCTTTACGTTGTTCACTGCTATAGTCTCAATAAAAAGGGCACAATGTATACCTGTGTGTGTTTTTACGGTTCCTGTACAGCTAATAAAAACTTCCCTCGGGGACAATAAAGTATCATCTTATCTTATCTTATTGTATCTTATCTTATCTTATCTTATATGGTCAGTTCAACACACATTAAAGGACTGCGCTTCAGTAAGACTTTTCAACAAGTTGAGAAGGCCTCAATTGAGAACAGTTTTTTTAAATTTATTGATACCATTCTTGTTATTATTCCGACAGGTTAATATGTATTATATTTAATCCGATCAAAAGCACATCTGGTATTCCAAATTCCACAGTGCAACTTCAACAAATGTAGCATAGTAAGATAAAGTCTCATATTGGAATTCAAATGTACAATAAGAACCGTTTCATTATGATGCAATATTCATTCGATTTATAAATACATTATCCGTTTATCACAAAGTTGAAAAAAATCAAATATTATTTTTTTACGCCCTCTTGCAAAATTCATGCAACAAATCGATTGTCCGCAGAACACACACACAGTCAACAAGATTAAATTTCATAAAGAGGCTTATAAACACAAACGCTATTCCAGAGCACGCGCATCGAAGTCCGTGGTATGGTGGTTGTACGCTTCGCTATCACACACGGAAGACCTGAGTTTGATTTCCGAGTGGGGAGAAGTCTTATCGAATGTCTCAGTGTTCCTGTTGGGACGTTGTATCCCTATCAGTCCGAGTAGGCTCTGACAGGCAGGGTCGAAGCCCACCTCCTAAAAGTTCAAAATTGTGGCTGGTGGGGGCGTAAAATATTTACATTAAAATTGAAAAAAAAGGACAGACGTTACCTCTGTTGGCTCTGTTTAGAGTGAAGGGTCAAGTCGTTTGGATCAATAAATACGCAACAAGATAAGTTGGGTTTTCATGATAATTTGACGTTTTCATATCGTAGATGTGGCATTTAGAAGGAGAAAACCCCTCTTTAAAAAAGTGATGACAAAGAGATCAAAACGAACGCCACAATATGACCCTTTGATTCTGCACACATGCCTCTTATATATAATAAAACGCCATCCTGTAGCCCAGTACAAGGTTATGTCTTCTTAGCATTTCACTTTCTCAGAATTACAAAATTCTATCTGACATTTTACGCCCTTTTTGAGTTACTAATACCAGGAGAACCAAAATAATGTTCTGTCTACTAGTCTATCAAACTCTTAAGATCAGTCGGAGTTGTTATCAAGATATTCAAAGAATTGCATTCGAAAGAGTTTGTCATGATGTGCATCCCCAAATCTTGGACGTCAAATTTCTCAAACCTAGGTACTGAGCAGATAAAACTTAGTAATCTAAGGTAGCGATTTCTAAAGGTAGCAAAATCCTGCAGCTCTAAGGCTTCAAATGGATTATCAGAAATACAAGACCGCCTAACAAAAGTGCTTGAAGGGACAAACACCAAACGTCCCGAGACAGTTCAGGACAAGGACATCGGTGTTGGGATTTGAACACAGGCTACCCACGCATTGTCAAATTGCTAGTCAATTGATCCCCCTTCCTTTGCTCTCATTTCGTCAGAGTCCTTCCATAATTGTCAGGTCCATTTTCTCTGGGTGTCCAGATAAAGCTCTTATTAGAATGCAGATAATAAGGGCCATCTTACCATAATACCATGTGTGGCATCGTGGTGATATCAGGCTCTCGTCAAAATAAGGAAATCGGGGAAACCTCCATTTTCCGCCTGTTGGTCATTTTTTATCGAATTGTTTGTTTCGGGCTCAACACCTTTTATGTTTATTTAAAAACTCATTTCTGTGTGGGTTGTTAGTGATAAAAGTTGATCTAAGGCACACATGTGTTAATGTACAGTTTCCAAGGACACTGAAACTTTGGCAGTCACCAAAAGCAGGCGATCATTTTTTCACCAATTTTACCTCTGACACCTGGGTGATGGTGGGTAAGCGAGTTATTACAACTTAAATGGGTCCTCTTTTTTTAAAAAGACACTCAGTATAATATTGTTTCGTTGTGTTTCATTATTTCCTTCCTAGTTTCTAATTGAAAAGACAACGAGCACCCAAGTAATGGTCTTGATTCGGGAACTATTTTGTTCTCTAATTTTCTCAAACTTAAACAAACGTGGGCGAATGTGGAATGCCAGTGACGAAATCTCGAAGCGTCAGTTGCACAGATGGGCAATTAAGAAGTGTTTACTCTCAACGCGGGACGAGATTACTCACAATTCCCCCGGGTGGACAAATGGGCGTTAAGCGATCATGGCAAAGTTTGCCCTGGTTCAATATTATTGTTGCAGGACTCGTTGTAACCAAAACTAGACTAATGTCAATGGAATAACAAGGTCTCGGTTGGGACTCACGGCAATGACGTCTGTGATTAGAGCGGGCGAGAAACTGTCACTATTTGGTTTGAAGTCCAACAAATGTAATTAATTATGTTCTGGCTTTTTTCTGCAGATGATCCAAAATTGTAGTCTTAGTTCCCAAATTTTATCAATTTAAATGATGTTTTACACTTCACTGGAATTTATATAATTTAGAAAAAAAGAACTTTCCACCTTTTTGGGTGGTATACCCGATCACAGCAGAAAGACTGAGATGTTGAGGAACGTAGTATTCTTCACGAGGGAATCGAACTCAAGCCTTTAAGTGCAGGGAAGTGTAACCATTACTACACAGAAGAAAAACAATTTGGTGTCTCTTGTACGGGACACTAGATTGTGTTTTGTTGCATATTATGACTTGGTCTACTTTTAAGGGTGTGTGTGTGTGTGTGTGTGTATGTGTGTGTGTGTGTGTGTGTGTGTGTGAGTGAGTGTGTGTGTGTGTGT